GTGGTTCTTTCAGAAGCTCTTGCAAAGCAGGCCTGGTGGTGATGAAATCTCTGAGTGCTTGCTTATTCACAAAAAACTTTATTTTTCCTTCACATGTGAAGCTTAGCTTGGCTGGATGTGAAATTCTGGGTTGAAAGTTCTTTTCTTTAAGGATGTTGAATATTGGCCCCCACTCTCTTCTGGCTTGTAGGGTTTCTGCTGAGAGATCTGCTGTAAGTCTGATAGGCTTCCCTTTGTGGGTAACCTGACCTTTCTCTCTGGCTGCCCTTAGTATTTTCTCCTTCATTTCAACCCTGGTGAATCTGACGATTATGTGCCTTGGAGTTGCTCTTATTGAGGAATATCTCTGTGGTGTTCTCTGTATTACCTGGAGTTGAATATTATCCTGCCTTACTAGGCTGGGAAAATTTTCCTGAATAATGTCCTGAAGCGTATTTTCCAGCTTGGATTCATTCTCTTCGTCACATTCAGGTACACCGATCAAGCGTAGATTAGGTCTTTTCACATAGTCCCATATTTCTTGGAGACTTTGCTCGTTCCATTTTATCCTTTTTTCTCTCGTCTTGTCTTCTTGTTTTATTTCATTGAGTTGATCTTCGACCTCTGATATCCTTTCTTCTGCTTGATCAATTCGGCTGTTAAAACTTGTGCATACTTCACGTAGTTCTCGTATTGTGTTTTTCAGCTCCATCAATTCACTTATTTTCCTCTCTAAATTTTGTATTCTTGTTGACATTTCGTCAAACCTTTTTTCAAAGTTCTTAGTTTCTTTAGATTGTGTTATAACAAGTTCTTTTAATTCACAGAAGTTTCTTATTATCCACGTTTTGAAGCCTGCTTCTGTAATTGGAACCCACTCGTTCTCCATCAAGCCTTGTTTCGTTGCTGATGAGGAACCGGGATCCCCTGCTGAGGAAGAGGCGTTCTGATCTTGGGTATTCTCAGCCTTTTTTGACCGTTTTCCTCCCTTCGCCGTAGATTTATCCATCTGTGGTCTTTATAATTACCGTCTCTGCAATTGGGTTTCTGAGTGGACGTCCAACTTACTGATTCTCAGCGCCGAAATCTGAGCAACCCACTGCACCGACTAAATCAGCGGCGTTAAGATTGAGGGTGCTTTTCCAACTCTGCACCGTGAACCGACGCTCCGAGGCGCCGGCAAAACCGCCTCGCCGGTCACAAGAGTCGCGCTGGCGACCCGTGGGGCTCCTCCGCTGGGAATCTCCTGATGCGTGAGCAACAAGAATTCATGTGAAGGTGTGGCGTCCTCTCCTTCTTTGCGCTTTCAGTGGGAGCTACAATCCCGAGCTGCTAGTGATCAGCCATCTTGGATCTCTCTCCCCAGTTCTTGGTTTCTAAGCACCATCCTCCACAGAAAGAAACCTGGAAAGTGCTTGGATTACAGGCGTGAGCCACCGTGCCCAGCCAACCTTCTTGGAGAAATGGATGACTCCAGGCTGGGGCAGGAAAGGCACAGAATGAGCCTAGAATATCTTGTGTCAAAAAGTTAGGAAGATGAGCATAGAATATCTTGTGCTCAAAAAATAATTGGAATATGTCAGGGAGACACAGGAGCCACCTTGAAGGTGTTCCCACTCAAATTTGGTACAATCTGAACATCAAAGAAAAAACAATATAAGGAACAAATACTTTTTTTTTTTTTTTGAAACAGAATCTTGCTCTGTCACCCAGGCTGGAGTGCAGTGGTGTGGTCTTGGCTCACTGCAACATTTGCCTCCCAGGTTCAAGCAATTCTCCTGCCTCAGCCACCCGAGTAGCTGGGACTACAGGGGTGCACCACCACGTCTGTCTAATTTTTTGTATTGTTAGTAGAGGCGGGGTTTCACCCTGTTAGCCAGATGGTCTTATCTCCTGACCTCATGATCTGCCCACTTCAACTTTCCAAAGTGCTGGGATTACAGGTATGAGCCACTGCGCCCAGCCAACAAATACATTTTTAAAAATAGAAACCAGTTAGTCCATACATATAATAAATAAATAAGTGGAAAGCCCTTCCTTACAATAGAATGATAAATAATAAATATACAAGGAATAGTGAAGATATAAAATCACCATTTGGCAACCATCACAGTGGTGGTCGATTCAGGTAGGAATTGTTAAAAGATGCCAATGCTGGTGGGTAGTTGTTTGATAAAGAACAAGGTATTGACATAATCTCAGAATATTTATCCATAAAATACTAATCAATTACAAAGGAGAAAATTATGTTACAGGTGAGAAACCTAGCAGACACCAACAAGAGTAGGTCATTGAGGTTAACACAATGGGTTGACATTATGTGCCTTCTAAGGTGACACACCATGAAGAGAGCAGCATCAGTTTTATGGTGTTTCTGCCAAGAAAGCATGACCTGATCCTCATCATGCATGAGGAAACATTGGACACAGGTTGAGGATCATCTATAGAATGTGAGGTCTGTATTAGTGTTGAGGACATGACAGGAAGGGAAAGACTGAAGAACTATTGTGAACAAGAGGAGACAGAAGAGACAGGACTAAGTGCAATGTGTATTCTTGGGGGAGATTCTGGACTGGAAAGTAAAATGAGATATTTTAGGGATAGTTGGTGAAATTTTGAATGGGGTTTGTAGAATGGGTGGTAGTGTAAAATCAATGTTGATATCCTAACCTGGAGAGTTAGAGAATGGTTATGTTTTGAAGAAACATACTGGAGAGTTTAGAAATGGTGGGGTTTTATGTCCATGCTTTGCTCTCAAATGGTTCAGAAAAATAATGAAATAATGATAATGGCTATGTACACCTACAAACACACACACACACACACACACACACACATAATGGAAAAAATGGGTGATAGAGCAAAGAGAGCAGCTGGCTGAAGAAAATATGGAGGTTCTTTTAATATGGGGCTATAGGAATGTAGAGAAACAGGAGAGGGAAGAATCAGGACTGGATGGAAATTTCTCAAGAAGGAGGTTAACGTAAGCTTGAGTAATGGATAATATTTAGAAAAGAGGAAAAGAAGAGTAATAATGTTCTAGTAGAGACAAGCAACATGAGTAAAGTCTCAGCCTTAAAGTCTGGGAGAAACATGGCATGATCAAGAAACCATAAAGAGACTAACTTGGACAAGATAATCATGGAGGGCTTCATATTGGGGAGGAGTTGAAGACTGATATGGTTTGGAAATTTGATCCTCCAACTCTCATGTTGAAACGTGATCTCCAATGCTGGAGGCAGGCCTAGTGGGAAGTGTTTGGGTCTTGGTGGATGGGCAGATCCCTCATGAATGGCTTAGTGCTGTCTGGGTAGTAATGAGTGAGTTCTTGCTCTATTAGTTCACACAAGAGCTGGTTATTAATAGGAACCTGGCACCTGTTCCCCTCTTTTTTGCTTCCTCGCTCACCATGTGACATAGCTGCTCTCCCTTCACCTTCCCCCATGAGTAAAAGCTTCCTGGGACCTCACCAGAAACAAAACAGCTGTGGTGCCATGCTTGTATAGCCCACAGAACCATGAACCAAATAGACCTCTTTTCTTTATAAATTAGTCTAAGGTACAGTATTCCTTTATAGCAATCCAAAATGGAGTAACACAGAAATAACATTGATATTAAGGTAAAGTAGATTGCTGTCATTTTTGAGTGTCCATGACCCCCATTTGCTTTGAGGAATTGCATATTCTCTATTCCATGTGGTCACTGGAGTAAATACAACATCTATACCTGGCCTATCATAGCAGCTTATCTTTCTGGGAAAAATGATTAGGCCAGAGACGGTCACATGTCCTGAATAGAAAAAATCAGAACACATTCCTGGATTGCTATAAGGATGCTGGAAGCGGACATGAATCTTACTCCTGGCACTACTAATAGTTTGGAAGAACATAAATCTGAAGCTGCCAGAAGTTGCTTTGCCCATCACTAAGAGTACTGTTATTTTTCAAATGTTCAAACTTACTTGGCTGGGAGCAGTGGCTCATGCCTGTAATCCCAGCACTTTGGGAGGCTGAGATGGGTGGCTCACCTGAGGTCGGGAGTTCGAAAACAGCCTGGCCAACATGGCGAAACCTTGTCTCTACTAAAAATAAAAAAAAAAATACTTGGGCGTGGTGGCACAAGCATGTAGTCCCAGCTTACTCTGGAGGCTGAGGCACGAGTATCACTTAAACCCGGGTGGCAAAGGTTGGCAGTGAACTGAGATCACACCACTGCACTCCAGCCTGGACAATAGAGCAAGATTCTATCTCAAAAAAAAAAAAAAATCAAACTTACATAAAGTACCTTTTCTCTTTTGTAATACTATCCTTTCTTCTCACTTGTTGCAAATTGGCCTCCTTCATAAAGAATTTCCAGTGAATCTAGATATTTTCTCTCTTCTCTGCGTTTCTATAGCCTTTACTGACTTTGTATCTGCTGCATTTTTAGACTCTTAAGGTTACCTGGACTTGTATTGCTATTTAACTGGTTTGCATGTGTATGCTTGATCTTCCTAACAACATTATAGATTTCTAGAAAGTGATCAGAAAATATCTCTGGATGAAAGTCACTAAACCTTTTATACCACACACAAATATAAAGTGACACTCAAGACAAATTAAAACCACAGTAAATGTTTAAAGGCCACCATTTTTTTAAATACCATTAAAATTTTAGCATCATTTTTCATGTGCTTAGATAAGAACTTAACCTGATTCCAAATCCTGTGTTTAATCTTTTTTTTTATCACTATAAATGTCTTAATACCTGTTTATTCCATTCAATTTAGATTGCAACACTAACAAAATTCTTAATGCATACATCCCCACCACCTGTCCTTTCCCTATACTATCATTTTGACACTTACATACAAACAACTCAATTCAGCAACCAAGTTTTACAACCACTGTTGCTACTAATCAAATGGTGATGCGTCAGATCCCAATTCTCATGAGTATTAACATATTAAGAGAGTACATTATTTACCTAAGACTGAAGGACTGTGCCTTACTTTATAAAAAAACAAAGATAGCCACATCAACTTAATTCCATATATATGATACTACCTATTCAATTTATTAAAAATTGTAATAAACATAATAAGCAAACTAGTGCTCCAAACTTATGCTGTTCACATGGAAGACACCACAAAAGAAGACACAATACAGAGACTGCCCTGCAATAAGTACAAATTCCTTCTATAGAGATGGAGAAATAAAAGGACAAATCTAGTTGTCTAAAAGACAATTCACTGTACACATTTTATTTACAGTTTTGTACACTGTCTTAATATGAATGGGACTGCTTTTCTACTTGAGCCATTTTTAACCAAAGCAAAATAACCTAAGTAATACAAAGTGTTAAAATACAGCATAAAGATACAAAAGCAGACATACTAATTCTAGTTAGGAATGTAATTATGATGTTACATTTTTTATAATCCACAATTATGTTTAGGAAATCACACAAACATAGATCACTGATTTGAATGAAATGCATAAATTTGTAGCAAAGCTTTGTAGTTACAAAAAAAAAACAAAAAAATTACCAAAGAATGCACAAAATTAATGTTTATTCCACCTTTGTGTCATATTCCTGGATCCTTCACCAATGTTACATGAGGAAAAAAAACAAAAGCAAAACAAATGAAAAGCTGAAATCAGAATCACTAATATTATCAAGTAGGGAAACAAATAAATTAAAATCTAGCAGCCATCAGCAAGAGTACAGCAAAGACAATGCTGTAAAAAGAAACAAAGAAAATTGCTAGAAAACTGTATGCATCATAATCTTTCAAACCAGCAAAATATGCTCCTGCATACAATAGAACATCAACAGAATTTTTTTCCTGTAAAGTAGAGAAATGCCAAGTTGTTTTTTGAATATTGTGGATAGGTAAAATGTGTATGTAATTAATGGTAATTCTACTGAACTATTACAGAGTGGGCCAGGAACACACTTATGGATTCTGGGGGTGTGCACTGTAATTCTTTGATTGGGATAGTGGACACTCTAGCCAAAAAAAAATATATATATATATATATGAACACAGAAGTACAAGACAAAGGCAAATGAGACTTCTCTTATATCTCAGCAACATTTAGATGGAAATCAAATTTAAATGCAGTCCACTCTGCTTTTGGAAGAGGCTTTGGTTCAGTTCCCAAATCTCGATTGCTTGACGCAGTCTCCTATGAGAATATTCAGAAGGTGTCTTCTTAAACAACAAACCTATTTTTAGTGGTGGAGCCGCTCTTAGTAGCTGTGTCTGCGTGGGACTGATAACCAATCACTATCTTTGGAGGAAGTCCTAACCTTTCCTTGTATACCCTCCCTATATGTGTAACAGCTTCTCTGTTTTCACATTCAGTAGTCCATATTGCTATCTTATCTCCTTTAGCTCTAACATTAACAACAGCGCCACATACATCGTCACTGTAGTCATCAAAAGATTCTCCAGTAAGGCACAGCAGTGTCTCTAGCCAAAAGCGATCGAGGTCACTTCGTCTCTGCTGTTTGTTCAATGTAATTAGCCATCGTCCTCCCCGTTTGTTTTTCTCATCTTCCCACATAGGCTCAATACCATCCTTAAAAAGTGAGTAGTCACAGCCAGGCATTAAATTACTAGACAACTGGATATGGTTGTACAGAGGCCAAAAGTCTTCAACGGTATCAAACTTAGAGATCAGCCGTAGGTTTGCTTGCCAAGTTTTGCTTTTATCATTTTTAAAAAACCAGAGTGCCCATCTGTTCTGCAGAGGATGTTTAATATAGTGTTCTGGATTAGCGACCTCCTGATTAGATTCTGGTTTTTCCTCTTCTGTAGCCGGGGGATTAGGAGTAGGAGTGGTTTCCGGTTCGACAGTCGCCATCTTAGATGGATCTGATCGCACAACCGCTCCAGAAGGGGGGGTGAGAGAGCGTGTTTAATCTTTTTAAAAATATATATAGCATTGAGTAGCCAGGTTCTTTCTCCAAATTTCCTGTAAAGGTTCATGTCTTGGTGATGTAAATATAAATGCCTATGTATATGGCTGAAGCAGGTACTTTGAGGGATTTTAGAGAAAATGTGAATTCTGTGCTTGGTAGAAGCCCACCAAATTTACATTAGACCCCACTTCTGCACCCTTTCTCTCATTTCCACTTTTCTTTTTTTTGGAGATGGGGTCTTGCTCTGTCCCCTAGGCTGGAGTGCAATGGCACAATCTCGGCTCACTGCAACCTCTGCCTCCCGGGTTCAGGTGATTCTCCTGCCTCAGCCTCCCAAGTAGCTGGGATTATGGGCACATGCAACTATGCTCAGCTAATTTTTGTATTTTTAGTAGAGACAGGGTTTCACCATGTTAGCCAGGCTGGTCTAGAACTCCTGACCTCAAGCGATCCTCCAGTCTCAGCTTCCCAAAGTGCTAGGATTGCAGGCGAGAGCCACAATGCCCAGGCTCCTTATCATTTTTTGTTAGACATTTGGATGCATAATTTCTGATACTCAGCTCTGAACATTAAGCCAGATTGGTATGGTCTGTGTTTCTGGGAATGTGTGTAATATTAAAGAAACAGGTTCTAGTCCCAAACAGTCTGGGTTCAAATCTTGGCTCAGTCAGACACTTATTAGTTGTGTAACCTTGAATTACTTAACTACTTAGTTTCTCATCTGTGAAATTGGATAATACTGGCATCTACTTCCTGGGGTTGTTACGGGTAATTAATAGTTGAAAAATCTAGAATAATGCCAAGCAAATAGTAAGCATTCCAATAGATGTTTATTATTACTAAAATGTTCATTTTAATGTTTCAAGGGGTATGTTGTACGGTGTAGTGGAGGAGGAGAAAGGAGTGTCGTAGTTCGGAGAACACCATCTTACATGATAAATGTGAAATGGTCAGTAAGATAAATGCATTGGGGTGTTTCCATACAACTGAAAACTATCCAATAGTTTAGCTCAGTGGTTCTCACTCTAGTGTGCACCAGGATCACCTGAAGGGTTTGTTGAACCTTAGATTGCTGTGCTCTGCCCCATAAATTGATTTATTGGGTCAGGGACAGAGCCAAAGAATTTGCATTCTAACAAGTTCTGAGGGGATGCAGATGCTGCCAGTCAGGATCACACTTTGAGACTCACTTGGTTAGATCAGGGTTTCTCAACTTCGACATAATTGACATTTTGGACCAGATAGTTCTCTGTTGCAGGGAGCTATCCTCTGCATTGTAGGATGTTAAGCAGTATCACTGGCCTCTCTACCCATTAGGTGCCAATAGCACCTCTCTCCCCACCACGCACTGTGACAACCAAAAATATCTCCAGATATTGCCAAAGGTCCACTGGGAAGGCAAAACTGTTGGCTGGGTGTGGTGGCTCATGCCTGTAATCCAGCACTTTGGGAAGCCGAGAAACTCAGATCACCTGAGGTCAGGAGTCCAAGATGAGGCTGGCTAATGTGATAAAACTCTGTCTCTACTAAATATGCAAAATTAGCCAGTCAGGGTGGCGAGCACCTATAACCCCAGATACCCAGGAGGCTGAGGCAGGAGAATCCCTTGAACCTAGGAGGTGGAGGTTGCAGTGAGCCAAGATTGCACCACTGTGCTACAGCCTGGGTGACAGAGTGAGACTCCATTTCAGGGGGAAAAAAGAAGAAAAAAACTGTGAGAGCCACTGGCTTAGAGGAATGAACTAGTGACATGAACTAATCTTAAAAGTATAATTTTGGCTGGGCACAGTGGTTTATCCTTGTAATCCCAGCACCTTGGGAGGCTAAGGTAGGCAGATCATGAGGTCAAGAGAACAAGACCATCATGGCCAACATGGTGAAACCCTGACTCTCTGAAAATAGAAAAATTAGCTGAGCACAATGATGCATACCTGTAGTCCCAGCTACTCCGGAGGCCAAGGCGGGAGAATCGCTCGAACCTGGGAGATGGAGGTTGCAGTGAGCCGAAACTGCACCACTGCTCTCTAGCCTGGTGACAGCAAAAAATATAGTTTTAAGCCAGGTGCAGTGGTAATCCCAACACTTTGGGAAGCTCAGGGAGGGAGACTGCTTGAGCTCAGGAGTTCTAGACTGGTCTGGGAAACATAGTGAGACGTCATCTCTACTAAACATTTAAAAAATCCGCTGGGTAGTACATGCCTGTAGTTCCAGCTACTAGGAAGGCTGAGGTGGGAGGATCACTTGAGCCCAGGAGATCAAGGCTGCAGCAAGCCGTGATCATGCCACTGCACTCCAGCCTGGGTGACAGAGCAAGACCCTGTCTTACACACACATACACAAAATATAGCTTTTAGTATAAAAAGCAAGCTACAAAAAGAGAGAGAGAGAGAAATACAGAAAGCATGCATCCATTCTTGCAAATTTTAGAAACACACAAAACAATGTACTTTTAATGAATAATGTATATGTATTAAAATTATCAAAAATGTGGACTGGAAGGACACACAGCAAAATCATGAAAGTAAAAGAGGTTGGAAAAGAAGAAAGGCAATGGGCCTGGGGCAGGGCACTCTTATCTGTCATGTTTCAGTATAATGTTTTATTACTTAAATATTTTTTAAACTCAGGGGATCGACAGCATGATAATCTTTGTTAATTCTGAGTGATGGGTATGTGGATGTTTACTATACTATCCTCTGTATTTTTCTATATTCAGATTATTTTTTCCAAAGTTAAAAACACATACACACAAATATATAGTAAGTAAAGGAACTACTGACATTATTATTTGTTATTCATGTATCTGCTATGTTTTCTTTAGAACTTTGTCTTGAATATTTTCTTAATTTTGGTTTTATTTATATGCTTCTGCCTAAATCTTATTGTCCAATTCCCACAGCCAATATTCTGAAATTTCTAGGTCAAGCCACTGACCACTAACTACTCTGACCAGATAATTTGGTCACCATTGCCCACTTGACTCAAGTGAAAAATATAGCTTTCTCACTACATTCTGATAATCTTTTCCAACACAGCCTGCAGTTTCTTTCTAAGGGTAATTACCTTCTCCTCTTAAATAAAGTAGTATAAGAAATGTCAACTAGGCCAGGCATGGTGGCTTATGCCTATAATTCCAGCACTTTGGGAGGCCAAGGTGGGTGGATCACTTGAGGCCAGGAGTTTAAGACCATCCTGGCCAACATAGCAAAACTCCATTTTGGCTAAAAATACAAAAACTAGCCAGGCATGATGGCGTATGCCTGTAATCCCAGCTACTTGGGAGGCTGAGGCACAAAAATCACTTGTACCCAGGAGGCAGAGGCTACAGTGAGCTGACACTGTGCCACTGCACTCCAGCCTGGCTGACAGAGTGAGACTCTGTCTCAAAACAGAACAAAAAAGAGGTGTCAAGCTAATCACCAATATTCTCTATCCAATGGAGCTTCACAGTTCCAAGAAGAGGCCATATTGTAAAATAAATTCTCTCTCACACACACAAACATACATTTGTACATAACAAAATGACTTATAAAATTATAAAGTAAAACCTAGCAATGGCTAACTCAGTAGAATTTTTATTTCTTTTTTATTATCTATACTGTATTTTCTACAATGGACATGTATTTTGTAATTTTATAGTAAGAAATTTTATAATAAAAGCCATTTTAATTTTTTGTTTTTTGTTTTTTAAGGTGGTAAAGTATATATAACATAAAATTTACAATTGTAACCATTTCTAATTGTACAGTTCTGTGGCATTAAGTACATTCACATTGTTGTACAACTATCACCACCTCCATCTCTAGAACTTCTTCAACTTCCCCAGTGAAAATTTTATATCAATGAAGCCCCAACTCCCTTTTCCTCTTTCCCCTCAGCCCCTGGTAAACACCATGATACTTTCTGTCTATGAATATGACTACTCTAGGTACCTCATATAAGTGGAATATACAATTTTTGTCCTTTTGTGGCTCATTTACTTCACATAGCATAGTGTCTTCCAAGTTCACCTATGAAGATGCTATATTGTAGCATGTGGCAGAGCTACTATGATTGTTTTTTAATAAGGAAAGGATTGAATTTTCCCTCCTAAAAAAATTCACAGTGGCCTGCATTCTCATATTACAGTAGGATGTATTTGTTTGAAAGAAGCAGAGGAATTCCATGTCTCGGGTAATGCATTTCCCATGGGGGAATATACCTTGCTTGTTTTCATTGAAACCAAAGGTCTCCAAATTGATACAATAGTAAGTAATCATTTTTTCTTACAAGAGACTCAGTCTGGTAGTTCTGTTCAAGTCAAGTAGAAATTTCCTAATAGTTTCAGTGAAGCTGGCTGTAAAAATTGCTTAACTAGAAAGCTCTTGGGTGTCCAATTTATCCTGCTCACTGGTTTCTATATTTGTTAGGACATGGTAACTATATGATTCAAAATGGAATGACTCAAAATACAGAATAGGATTTCATTCAGAACCTGAGCTCCCTTATTCTATTTGATTGATTTTGTTTATGGCAGTGGACAACCTTACCCTTTTAAATTATGTATTACATTTGCACTCATCAGAAAGCTAGTTTTATTTCCCCTTTCATCATTAAGAAGATAGAATTTTCTCAAGTAAGGATTCACAGTAATTTCATTTATCTCTAGAGCCTTGGAGACAGTTACCTGTGAATACTAATGAGATGGTCTTGAAATAATTGGTGTGGTTGGGTGCAGCAGCTCATGCCTGTAATCCCAGCACTTTGGAAGGCTGAGGCAGCTGGATCACTTGAGGTCAGGAGTTCAAGATCAGCCTAGCCAACATAGTGAAACCCATCTCTACTAAAAATACAAAAAATTAGCCAAGGATGGTGGCACATGCCTGTAATCCCAGCTACTCAGGAGGCTGAGGCAGGAGAATCATTTGAACCTGGGGGGCAGAGGTTGCTGTCAGCCAAGATTGCAATACTGCACTCTAGCCTGTGTGACAGAGCAAGACTCCA